GACAGAAATTCTTCTTTGACAAGAAGAAAGAAATATAAATTTGAAAGAAATATAAAAAGGACTGTTAAAATAGCAACCGATAAAAGCAGGTTAAAGTGCAGCATCTATTTTAGATTGTTCAGGGTGCTTACTGCAGAAACAATGAAGGATTTCTTGTAGATGTTTTTGTGGGCCAGTGGCGCTTTGTAGCGTCTGCCTGACAGCAGTAACTGGAAGGTGTGGTGGAGGGGGTGAGAAGGGTCCTCAGTGATCAGGGTGGCTTTCCGGATCACTCAGTGGTTATACAGTTTATCCTAAAATCCAAATTACAAATCTTTCCTCCTACCTGTAGTGCTATTTATCAGTCTAGATTGTTTTGGTGTGAGCTGCGGAGTGCTGGAGATATCAGCCTTAGAGAACTAGATGGCACTCAGCTTGTGGTGCTCAAAGTGCCAAAAAAAGGGAAAGAAAAACTCAACATCAATGTCTCTTTCCAGAAATCATGACCCAGTTACTCAAGATAATCCAGAGACCTTGTCATGAGCAGTTTTATGTAGGAATAATTCTCTGTCTACCGAACTACACCTGCCAAATGTATCACTGCACAGAAGGAAGAGTGCATCTACTCATGGACGAGAGGCTCGTGCTCATGACTGCACGAGATGTTAACATTAGTAGCGTCTTCCTTGGTTGAGCTGTAACGTTAGCTAGCTCAGTGGTGCTTGGTGAGCTAGCAGTAGATGCATGCTTTCTTTCTGTGTGGTGATACAGTTAGTGAGTGTACTTCGTTAGAAAGTAGGGATGCACGATATCGGATTTTTTGCTGATATCCGATATGCCGATATATAACAACTTATTTGGCCGATAACCGATACCAGATACATCAGCAGATGGAGACACAAAATAGAATGCTTTTCAATTTGTGTAATATCATGCAAAATAAGAAAAAACATGTTGGCAGATTCTGATAATGTGCTGATATTATAGTGCATCCCTAGCAGAAAAAAAAAATTCCTACATGAAACTGCTCACAACAAGGTCTGTGGATTATTTTGAGTTTATGATCTCTACGGCCGATATATCCAACACTCGGCAACTCACACCAAAACAATCTAGACTGACAAAGAGCACAATTTAGTTGACATTAATTTCAGTATAAATGCTTCTGGCACTTTAATTTGTGTGTTGTTATATTGGTGTGATTTTAGCATAATTTCCACTAATGATAAGCTGTCTGATACAGCTATGCTAATCTTTCTGTGTTCTCTACATTAGGTTTGACATACAGACAGAGGCGCTGGATTGCGACCTTTGACCTCCACGCCCTGCTGGCTGACAAACAGATCCAGGCAGCAGAGCTGAGGATCAGGCTCCCTCGGACACCCAGTGCTTCCAACATCACCGTGGAGGTCTATCACCAGCACGGCCAGGCATGCCATGTGCACAAGAGCTGCCAGGAGCAGCAGCTGGTGGGGCTGCTCACTGAATCATCGCTGGTCACATCATCACAGAACTGGAAAGTGTTCAACATGACAAAACCTCTCTCGAGCTGGCTCAGACAAAAATCGGTGACGGCCAGAATTCGATACAAAAGAGTGTCGAGAAGACGAGGGGCAGTAAAGACAAAGAGTGGCCTGTCGCTTCCCGATCAGCCTGTTCACGTAGTGAGCCCGAGAGGAGAGCAGGACATGAGGGACCGGGCCTTGTTGGTCATCTTCTCACAAACTGGCTCCGATGAGAACTCAAAGGTCAAAGCGAGCTTACTCCACACAGCTGAACAATCCAAGTTCTTGTCCCCTGCTGAAATCAAAAAGGCCCGCTGGCCGAAGAGGCGCAGGAGCAAACGGGGCCAGAAAGAACAAACTGTGAGAAGCCCGCAGGCGTCCAAAAAAGGGAATGAAAAATCTCTCTGTCGCAGAGTCGACTTGCAGGTAGACTTTAATCAAATTGGCTGGGGGTCCTGGATCATCTTCCCTAAAAAATATAACGCTTTCCGCTGCGAGGGCTCCTGCCCCAGTCCCCTGGGAGAAGACCTGAATCCAACAAATCATGCTTACATGCAGGTGAGTGGTGCGGATTCTCCATCTATGACTGTTCTATTGTTAAAATGACTCATTATTGTTGACTCAGTAGATTCACATCAGGGTGGCTGCTTGTGTTGAAACTTTGCTCCCATCTGCATGACTTACAGATTATGGTGAACTAGTTTCACTGTTTAGAAGAGAAGGGTGTAGCTGCAGAGCTCCAGGCCCGGGTTCAGCTCCTCTATCGGACCCATTATGGTCCCAAGCTCGGAGAGGGAAGTCTGAAATTGTGTACGCCAACCAGAGACAATCATCAGGATACGATAGCATGTGTTAATTAGTTTGAGTAAGCCACACGCCTTCCATCATTAACTCCAAGTTTAACAATACAAGCTAATATTTCAATATAACTGTAATGTTTAAGGCTAGGAAACATAACGTTAAGCAGCAATTAACTTGTCCTAACCTAATGAGTTATCTAACGTTAGCTAACTAAGCTAATGTTGTTAGCAAACTTTTGCTGTGTCTCAAATCTCGTACTTCCGTTAGTACACTTCCATGTAGTATACTTTGTGCACTATGTACTTATTGGCGTATTGCGCAAATTTCAACAGGGTAGTGTTGTCTCAAACCAAACACGGCCGTTGTGCACTTAC